TAAAAAAGAAAAGTCAGAGAATGTTAGGGCTATAAGGAAACTGAGAGATATCCTTAGCCCAATAATTGAATCTGAAGAGAAATGAACAGGCTCAGGGTGGTATGACTTGGTCAGAATAACCCAACAGCTATGAATGACCTAAAGCTATTGACTTCCTGTTCTCTTCCTTGGGTACACACCCACATCTTCATATTACACAGGGCACTGCAGAAGTTTCCAGGATTTCCAGTTATGATGGCTAAACTGAAATGTTACAACATCTGCCCTATTTTTTCAGGCAATGTCTCAACATAAAAATCAATGCCAATTCTCAGCATTTAGCTCATTTAACTAAAGCATCTGAAGAACAACTGTGATCTTGGAATTTAACTACATGAGCTGAAAAGGAGGGAGAGACATTTTCCGCCTCAAAAATGTGTGACAGGACAGATTATGGAATTAGGGCTCCGGTCTCGGCTCCTCAACTAAGCTAGCTGTTTAACTTTAGCTAAATTCTTCTAAACTTTGGTTCCTTCTTCATGTTAAAAGAAGGGGTAGGTTTGGATCAAGGATTTACTTGGGTTCCAAGGAAGGATTAGGGCGGGGCAGGGGGCTGCCAATGAATTCCTAGAAGTTATAGTCAAAATTTGATGTATAGGTGTCTTTTTCTAAGAACTGGATTCTCAGAGTGGTTTGGGATTCAAAATTCTTAGAACCACTGATTTAAATACTTTCTTAGCTTTCCCCTAGTTCTGACAATCTTTGACTCCACTTTTAAAAAGTGTCTGTTTAGTTTATCACCATTTGGTATGCTCATGACAAGCTCATGCGTACGCTGCCCAGCATACACAGGAGAAAAATAGGATGAGACAAGATATGAGCCTACTGGGAATATATCATTATTATGACCATCAACATTAATGTTGGAAGATGAGGGAAGGATGTGGAATCCTACTAAGACTTGTCATTAAACTACAGACCAGTGGACTATGCCGTCAAGTCTTCCTCAAACTCATTTACAGGGAAGCAAAGCTCATTCCCTATCCTGGCAGAAGTTTCAAACAAGATGTCTATTGTTGATCTGGTACGAACATACTCAGTATAACAAAATAAGTTTGTATAACAAATACATTTTCTGGTCCCTGTTCATGTAATGTTCTATATATGCTTTAAAAAAAATAGTACTGGTCCTATTTGCATTAACACAAAAGCAAACAGTTAAAACAGGGCTCTTTAGCACTGTGTTGTTCCACAAAGAGTGATATTCCTCCAAGTCTTTCACCTCTCTTGATTTGAAATGTTCCAAATGTTTTGAAAATCCAATTATTTTAGCAAATAGTTCATGCAAGATACTGGAGGTGGTACACAACTGAGTAAAACACTGTCCGTCTCTGCATGGAGCTTACACTCTCATGGGGTACCAGATTAGCATTCAGATCACTATAATACAAAGCAGCATAACAGAAGAGCTACTGAAATTCACAGGAAGGAAGGAAAGAAATCATGGAGGCCCCATGGGGGAGGCAACATGGGGAAAGTGAACAAGATTTTGATGGGCAGGAGCAGAGCATTCAAGGGCATTTTGATGGAGGGGCTATCATAAGCAAAAGCATGGAACCAAAAAAAGCATTGGGCATGTTTAGGGCATAGGAAGTGATCCAGATATCCTGGAGAGTTGTCGGGGGTGGGAGGAGTTGTGAATGATATTGTGTAAAATCTTTCACATGAGAATGAAGTGTTTGTACTTGATATTATAAAGCAATGGAGACTGCTAAAGGATTATGGAAGAGAAGAGTAAAATCATGAATTGTAGAAATTCTGAATTCAAGATTCCCCATGCACACCCACACTTTACAGGCAAGGGAGTCAGAACAAAACCCCACACAGTTTGCCAGGTTCCTAAATCCAATCTGTTTGCATTATACCAGCGGCCTTGCAAGGTTACTCTGGAGCAGTGTATAGGGTGGAGAAGACAGTTCAGGCAGGAGACCAAGGAGGCAGCTATTACAGGAGTCCAGGAGAGAAGTTTTGGTGGAATCCTGAGGATCTGAGCACCAGAGAGGGGTGGGGTTGGGGACTGAGGGGGGTCTGGGAAAGGGGGAGCCTATGAAGTCCCCTCTCTCCTCCAGGGAGTTGAGAGCATCACTTGTTCATTTACATTAGAGATGCAGGGCATTTGATTTCACTCACGGCAGATCCAGAAAGCATGGAGTCAACTGATGCATCTTTGTTCAGATTATGACCTCTGAGCCCTCCTAACTCCCCTTCAATACTGTGCATTCTCCAGTAAAAAGAGGCCAGAAATCACACAAAGCAGCCCTGGAACTGTCCCTTTAAGGGGCCAGTAGAGAATTTTAGGATTCAGGCAAGTCTGAGGGTTTCTTTCTGGCTTTGCTTAAGTGTGCCGAGGCATTCCACCGTTCTAAACCACTTTGCACAAAGGATCACCCAGCCCACAGGAGTGCTTCCCTGGGGGCTTCTGACTGACGCGGGGCCAGCAGTCAGAGACGGGTTCACCCGGCTCACAGCAGCTCTCCTGCTTTGCTCCTTGTCCAGACCCTGCAGCTCATCAACTCTGTGACTTTCTACTTTAACAGTTTAATCAACTTAGACCTGGGATGTCATGAGTCTGAATACGTCTGACAAAGACACAGGTGTGGCAAAAGCTTGACAGTAGGTGTGAATGATGAACATCGAGTTGGCAGAATTCTAAGTCAGTATGCCACTTTCTCTCTCCTGCATGGCCTTCAATGTGTAACAATTTTATAAAGACAGAACCACGAAGGAAATCATGAATGGTAGCTTCTGTGATAAAGACAGAACATCAGCTCAGCAGGTCAGCTTCTCACCAGAGGAATGGTTATACAAAGCAGGCACTCAGTAAAGAGGGGCCAGTGACCTGATGGCGTCTTTTGATCCACGTCTTGGTAGGTTCCCCTCTCCCTTGAGCTAAGGAGGCCAACTATCTTCAAAGCCAGTTGATTTCAACTGACCATGTGGGTCAAGGTCACTCCACATGCCGCTGTTAAGTGGGCCCAAATGGTGCTGGTACAGAGTAGGTGTGGGAACACTCTGAGCTTTGTTTCCCTTCCCGGGGCCCCTCCTTTAGGGCAGGACCACACTGGCATCTTACACTCCGTGAGGAGGACTAACCTGGATTCCACTACAGAGAACATCTTTAAGAGCCCTTCTGTAGTGAGGGAGGAGGACTCTACACATGGTGGTTCGGTGAGTAATCTCCTCTGGAGGCAAAACAACCCGCATTCAAATCCCATCTCTGTAAATTATGAATCTATGGCCTTGAGCAAGTTATCTGACCTCTTTACACCTTGATTTCTTCATCTGTAAAGTCAGGATAGTGGTGAGTAGTCAATAGGGTTGGTCTACTAAATGAGTTAACAAGATAGTAGGTATAAAGTGCTTAGCTAAGCACTTAATGAATTCCAGCTGTTTTTAATAATGGGGCTCTTACCTCTATGTCTACTGAACATCTGGTGATTGGTAGCTTAAGGGTCAAGTCCAGTAAAGGTGACAAAGGTGCCATCCAGATATGCCAGCTGTGTATAAGAACAGTATGGCAATACTTGGCCAGTATCTAAAAGAGCTTAGAAAATAGTGGTCCTCCACCTGCCCTACTTGAGCAATAGTTTAGGCTAACCCACTTTTTTTATTCCTCTAACCTGGTGATTGTTGATGTGAGACTGGCCTAGAAAGGTATGCATATGGTCTAGCCAGTTTGTAAGCTTTCAAAAAAAAAAGAGAGAGGGAGAGAGAGAGAGAGAGAGACAGCTCTAGACATCTATTTCAGGGTTACTTTTTAGTACCTCTTCATTTTTGTTTGGGGTTTTTTCTAGACATCAGGCACCGTCAGACTCCTGGTGTTTAAGGCTGTCAGAGCTAGAAGGCACTTAAGAACCACCTAAGTGGCTTGCTTTGGAGCTAAGGAAACTGGAGCTCCGGCTGGTGAGTGAGTTGCCCAAGGTCACCCAGCTAGACAGTTCAAAACCAGAACTAGCTCTCCAGGGGCCTGGTGTCCAGGGCTGTGCTCACTCTACCACACGGGCTGGCTCTGTTTTTTCTGGACTCCGGCTAAGCTTTGGTCCTGTCTCCAGGTGGCCCTGACTACCAGGGTGCACAGGGACTCTTCTTCAGCTCTCCCACCGGCCCTTCCCCACCCCAGGCCTCAGACACTCCGTCTGGCCTCTGTCTGTTCTTGCCGGCATGCATCCCTGACCTGTTCCGTCCTGTCCTGTCTGCCAAGCTGCAGGCTTTCGGTCCATGGGGGTCTGTGCTTTAGGGCCTCCGAGGCCTCAGGAGTCCTGCCTGGGGCCACCCAGAAGGGCTGCATGTGGGGTTCTTTTTGCCCCACAATCTCTTTCTCTCTGCTCTTCTCTTTCACTCCATTTTTTCTGTCTTCTTGACATCTCTGCTCAATCACTCCTCCTGGGCTTCACAGTCCTTTCTCCTCTTTTCTCTCTCCCTCCCACCCTCTCCTGTTCCCTCTTTTTCTCTTCGGTGGGTCGTGCTGGCGCTGGCACCAGCCTGGTTCTCCTTGCGCTCTGCCCAGTCCCCCTCCCCTCTCTTCCCCCATTCCCTTCCTCTTACCCTTCAACACATCTGTTTCTAATCTGAGCCCTCAAGGCGCCTGTTTGAAACAAAAAAGCTCCCCCCACCCTCAGGAACCTGGCAGAAAGAATCCCTGAATAAACCTTCCCTCCTCCAATTCTCCTTCCCCCAGATACTCCTGGAACTAAATGCCACCCCCAAAAGGACCCTCCACATCAAGCGCCTCTCGGCCAAACTCGCCCAGGAAACCCCCCCCACACACACACACACACCCCGCCCCAAGCCTGCTCCGGGGCCCAGATGTGCGCGATCTTCCGATGGCCGACCGGGTGGCCCCGCGCTGCCGGAGGCGCTCGTCCGCAGCCGGGAGGCCGGGCCTGGGGGGTCGCGCGCTCTCCGGGCCGCGGGGACCTGCCCGGGGCCACCCGGTCCCCCGCCCCGCCCGCGGCACTCACCGAGCCAGAGGAGGGGCAGGACCGTCATCCCGAGGCCGGGCGCGGGCACAGCCCCGCTCAGCCGCAGCCGCTGCCGGGCGCCGGGGCGGCCGGGCACAGCCGACGGGCCGAGGGCGAGCTGGGCGCGGCGCCTCGGGGTGCGCGAGGGGCGGCCGCGGCCATGTGCCGGCGCGGGAGCCCACCCCGCGCCCCGCTCGCGGGTCCCCGCGCTCCCGGGCGCCGGGGGGGCTTCCAGCGGGGGCCCCACGCGCTCGCGCCGGGCTCAGGGCGCAGAGGGCGAGGCGGAAGGACGCCGCCGCTGCGGGGAACACTTTTCCCTGTTTGGAAAGAAAAAGGAGTGAAGAGAGAGTGAGGGGGGGAAAGGGAGCCGGGCCACACGGCTGCCTCCGCCGGCCGCCCCGCCCCGCGCCCGCTCCCCGCGCGCCCGCCCCGCGGGCCCCAGGCCGGGGGAGGGGCCGCCCCGCGCGGCGGCTGCGGCGGCGGCGGCTGCGGCTCAGGATCGGCGCGCGGGGAGGCCGGGGGCGCCGCGTCGGACCGGCTCTGCGGGCGGAGCGGGGGCGCCGCGGCCGAGAGCCGAGCGGGAGGCCCCGTCAGCCGCCTCCGCCTCCGGGCCCGCGCCGTCCTGCTCTGTCCCCGCGTCTCTCGCGCATCCCTGCCGCGCTCAGTCTCCGCTTCCACTCCCCTCGCCAGCCCGCCCTTTCTCCCGCTGCCATCTCTCACCTCCTGCCGCCTCTCCTCACCCCTCCTCCCCGCGCCTCTGCCCTCCCCGTCGGGTGTGTCCGGAGGAACCCGCACGCTGACCACAGGACAGTGGACGTGGCGGCGGCCGTTAGCACAGCTAAGCGGCGGCCCGGGCGCGTGCTCTCCCGGCTTCACGCCGGTTCGGGCTCCGCAGCCACCCTTCGCCTCGCCCTGCCTGGGCCGTGGGCATGGGCCCCTCGGCTCTCCGCGGTCAGGGTCTTCGGCAGCCCCTCGGAGCCGCGCCAGGCGCAGCCGGCCGGCTCCCCGGGGGGCGGGTGGGAAGCGGGAGCTCACGCACCGCGCGCGGCCGGAGCCCAGATGCGCACCAGCCCCTTTCAGCAGGAAGGAAGGCAGTGGGTACTGATTTAGGTGCCTCCCGGCGAGGGCCGGCGCTGCGGCACCTCGGGACCCACCAAGCAGGAGGCCGGTGCTGGAGCGGGTGGGCTTCGGGGCTCTGCCCCCGAGGACCCTGCAGCTCGGCGGCCGCGGGAGGGGACCGCCACGCTCAGGTCTCCACTGCGTGGTGCTCCTGCCCTGCACACGTGTCTTGGGGCTCTGAGAAGCCCTGGACCCGCGCTCTCTGGTCCCCAGCCTCTGGGTGGCCCTGGAGCAGTGGCTTCTCCTTCAGCCTCTCTGAAGCGTGAGGAACCGCTTACCTTCAATCTTTGTGTTGCTTACCTTCAAGCGATTTGAGATGGGAGGTGGGGGTGGCTGCAAGAGAGAGGAACCCCTCCCGGCCCGGCAGGCAGGCTGCACCGATCGCATATTTGCCCTGCTCCCTATCCTCTTCAGGAGTTTTAAATCTCAAGATAGTCCTAACATAATTCAACCCATTATGTAGATGAGGAAAACAGAGGCTTGGGACTCTCATAGGGTCAGCAGAAGGGGTGGCTGTTGTTGGAGCTTTGGGACCGGCTGTAGGGTTACTTTAGAAGAATTACAATGTCTACTTACTCCCCTCCCCCGCTTCTTCAATAACTATTTATGATCCATCTGCTCTGTACCAGATGCTTTTTTAGGTGGTGAGTACACAAAGTGAATAGAACTTGGTTAATGAAAATTTTTTAAACATTTGGAACTAGTCATGGTATCAACTATGGACCAGAGATCGTATTAATCGATATTTATCTTTTTATTTAATTCTTTTAACAATGTTAAGGGATAGACTTCTTAAATTCTGGTTTAAAGAGGAGGAAACTGTAACCTAGAAAGATTAAATATCTTGCCCCAGATCACAAAATATTAGAACTCTCTTCTAATGTTAATATTCTAAAATATTGTTGTTTTATCACACAATATTTAAAGGTTCTCTTTGACTCATGTTTTCATTTTCCATTATATACTTCTTGTCTAATCAGGGAAATGGAAATACAACTATAATTTGTATGTGAATGTGTTGAAAAAAATGTTAATTCGTCTAAAAGGCTGAAGAAGATGGGAGGGAAACTATATAGAGAAGGTGACCTTTTGTTATTTCTGCTTCAGCACTTTATTTAGTATTTTGATATAATTTCAGACTTACAGAAATGTTGCACAAATAGTACAAAGAATTCTTGGATACTCTTCACCCAGATTCCTCCTTTTTCTTTCTTTCTAAAGGAGATACTTTCACAAAAGTTTTCAAGTGCCACCTCTAATCCTCCACCCCTGTGGCCTTTTTCATGAACCTGGTGACACCAATTATGTGGAGAGCTGGTGTGCACATGGACACAGATGTGTGTGGCCACAGGCAGACATGTTGAAACCCACATTGCTCAAGCTGAAGGTAACAAGACGCCTTCAGCTCCACATCATTGGTCAGCAGCATGGGAAATGGTTTCACTAGGCTGAGACTGGGCCATAAACACTCAAGTTTTCCCAGGTGCTAAGTCCTCTATACAGTAGATAGTTGGTATATTATATTCCTTGAGGAGAGTCCTGGGGCCCGTGGAGATGACTGTCCATAAACCTGAAGTCTCTTTTCCATTGTTGTACATCTCTGGGCTAGAAGAGCAGAGAGCCCCTGGGGATGGCTTGTAATTCAGCAATCCGTTGCCTGCCCACGCCATGTCCCACACTGTTGGTCTGGGTGCCATGGGGACCCAAAGAGGTATATGACAGTCCTTACCCTAAATGGACCTCTCAGTCCAATGGGAGAAAAAAGAACACCAACATGTGAGATATTTCAACAGCAATACAAGAAAGTTATGCAGTTAAGTGCCAGAATAAATTATCCTGACAGTAAGAAACATTGGGAATTCCAAGAAAGGAGGGAGCACTGTAAGCTGGGCTGGCTGCAAAGGTCCCGTGGAAGGACAGTTCTTGAGCCAGGCCTCAGGTGATGGATAGAATTCCATCAGAGGAGGGGACGGGGAGGCCGATGAGGCAGCATTCCTGGACAATGACCTGGTGTTAGGAAGAGCTTTGTTGTATTCAGGAAGGCATTGAATGAAATGAAATACATGAAATGAAAAATTGGTGGTAGCGCAAAATGCCCTGAACAGTTAGTGTGAAGCAAAACTGTGAAAAGTCCTGAATGTATATTGTCAGCTTTGGCTTAGAGGTGACCCCAAGTGCTGGCCAAGCCTGGAGAGCTTTAGTGTCCCTTTCATGTCCATCAAGCTCCCTACCCTCTCGCTTCAATGTGGACAATTTTCTCAGTATTTCATAGTGATTTGCTTCCACAGCTTCAACACAGTACCCCTACCCTCCGTACTCTAGGGGGAGCCAAAGAGTGACACCCTGTACTTACCTGATTTCAGGGTAGGCAGGAAACTGGACAAAAAACCTGAAGTGGAAGAGCTGGTTAGAACCTGTTGCATTAAATGGGGTGATGAGATGAGGCAGGTGTAACACATATACAAACATACTTGGAAGAAAAAAGATCACAGAGGTTAGATATCTCAAGTTCATTGTGGGTGGGCGAGGGAATGGAAAACAGCAGAGGCACCAAAGGTAAATAAAAGTGATCTGATATATTGTTACATGTGCTAAGATTAATAGCAGCCATTTATTGACGTCCTCTACATTCCGTCATCAATAAGCCCCACAATGCCCTATCACAAGGAGGAAGGCAAGGTTCAGAGAGATTATGTAAACTGTCTATCATTTCATGATTAGTTAAGTGATTGAAGCAGGCTTTAAAGTCAGAAGATTGACTGTGTTATTACTACTGACACACTAGGAAAATCAAGTAAACTCATTGGTGGGGGAGAAGACACATTTAATTTGAGATGGGGTAACTTTGAGGGGATGATCAACCATCATCTCTCTACTCATGTATTCACCACCCACCCATCTTTCTATTTGTTTTTTCAATCAATGATTCAGTAAATCCCTGTTATGCACTAACTACTATGTGCCCAGCACCGGGAAACTAATGGTGGACAAAGCAAAAGCTGTCCTGACCCCCAGTTGCCTGTGGTGAGTTAGGGAAGGTGGGGGACACAGGAGCCATCACAGTGTGAGTGAGAACAGCTCTGAGAGGGGACGTGCAGGAGCTGGGGCGCTGCAGGCTGGACCCCGTGCCAGGGGCAGCAGACGGCTAGGAGGACCTCCTGCAGAAAGCCCTGAAACCCGAGGGAGTGGGGGCAACTCTGTGCCACTGCCTCCTCTCCTAGGACTCCGGGAAACCTGAGGCCATGTCTTCCCACCTCTGAGCTCCAGTGTCCACCTAGGCCCGGTTGCCTCGGATGGAGATATGCGCTCAGAAGGGCATTTAAGGGAAGGCAGCTGGGGGATCATGGAAAGAGCTCCGGCTGGGAGGCGGAGAGATGAGTTCTCGGTGGCTTTGAACAGCTCATGTGACTCCCCGGGGCCTGCCTTCCCTCTTTTCCCAACACTCGACTGAGGAAGAAATGAGGTGATGGTGAAGGTGCCTACCCTGGTGTTGAACATACAGGAGACTCAGTAAATATTTGTTCCAGCTGAAACTTAAGTGGAGTTCATATAATTCCATTTCCTGCTGTAAAAAAGAGCCAACTTCTGTCTCATTTCCTTTTTCTATTAAAACCAGGTTATCTTTATATATTGTTTCCTGTCCTGCAAGGACACTTCTTGACTTGGCTATTCAGTGCACTGGTCCTTTTTCTGACTCAACAGTAAGAAGTCCCAGCTGGTTTTCAGGGTCTTCACTGGACAACTTTTATTGCGGCTGTGTCTGAGGAACCTGGTGAGCTGACAGTGGCTAAGGAGCAAGGAGTTGTCCCCGAGGTAGAGTACACAGCTGTTTGCTTCCCAAGGGGCCTGGAAATCAGGGAGAGATGACAGCGGATGGGCTCTGCTCTGTCTCATGCCATAAAAAGACAGTCCCCAGCTGCGATCTGGGTGGCCAGCCAGGTGGCAGGGATTTTGGGGGGCCAGTGTTCCTATAGGGCATTTCTTAGTGCAGAAGTAATCTGTGCCTCCATCTGCCTGCCAGGACACAGGATGTACAAGCAGGCCCCTTGACCCCAGTGGGCTTGGAGGGGACTATTGGGAGAGTTGAGAGCCAAAACGAAAAACAGAGATTTGTGGAGCTGCTGAGCCCAAGGATTTATAGGTAGAATCTTTGCTCTACAAATCACTTCTTCCCTGAGATCTGGGAGCTCCTGGCTCCTCCTCACATCCTACTTTCAGTTCCTGCTAAAGTAACACCCTCAGAGAAGCAGTTCTTTGGTGGAAGACAGGCTGATTCTAAATTCCCCCTGCTCCCCTTACTGTGCCCAACTCGGGCAAGTTTCGTACCCTCTCTCAGCCTACAAGTGTTCACCTATACGATCTCCTACACACCCCCTTAGTTAAGGAAACAAAACATGCCATGACTCCAAGATGCATTGTAACCAGATCTGAAGGGGTTCCTTTTACCTCCCTCAAACTGGGAAGATAGCATCTCCTTCTTTAGAAACACACAGCAAAAGGCATCGTATAAAGTATTCCTGGGTGTTCTCCCTTCCTCACATCATTCCCGTGTCTGAGTGGAGATCAAACTCAGAAGGTTTTCCTTTGATGAATAATACTCAGAATTACCCACGCAACAAGCTGTCATAAGGAAGTGACATGAGAGGAGAAGAAAATTAAGCACTAAATTTCAGATCTTCGATTGACACGGGTATCAGAGGCATGCAGTCAAACTTCCTTATTTCACTGAAAAGGACAGGCTCAGAGAGCAGCAGCAGCTTGTCCGGGGCCACACAGCTAGTCAGTGGCATGGAAGTGATAAGAACCCTAGTCCTATTCTGTGTTCTTTTCATTTGCCACTGTCTCATGAAAGGCTGCTGTGAGCCCATGGGTGGCCAGACCCATACCTGGCTTCATTCTGCAGTCAAGCAAAGAGCAAGATGATTTTTCTGTGAATCCAGCAGCATGTTTTCCTCTGTGACATGTAAGCCCCTGGCAGAGAGCACAAAGTGCCAAACCAAAGGATAGAAAGAATTCATACCTTCCAGCCGGGGAACCATGGCCTGCGGTCCTCGGCGAGCATGAGCTCTCATGTGCTTCTCATTCATCTGGGCCTGAAAGATGTGTTCTAGCCCATAAGGCTGCATTAGCTCCACCTCTGCGCAGCTGCTGTCTCCCCTAGCAAGCTGGATGGGTCCCTAGAGTTCCTTTAGGTTGAACCTCCTCATTTTGCAGACTGAGAGCCAGGCAGGGGATGTGCTATCTCGGGGTCACACTCGAGTTAGAGGCAGAGGCAAGCTTGAGACCAGTTGCCTAGCGACCAGCCCCAATTCTCTGTCATTCTCTCTTCTCAGCGTGGAAGACTATCACACAGTCTCATCCGAAAAGGTCAGGAATGAGAACAGAAAACTGCACAGTGTCTGCTGGCAGAAACAGGTGTGATAGGGCCCAGGGGAGAGCTGGAATTTTTTTTTCTAGAAATGGATGAGACTGTTGAAAGCATAGAATAAAACTGAGGACAATATCTGTGAAGCCCGAATATGCCACTGGTGTCCTGTAGGGAACTCAAATTTTTGTGGGTTGAGATGCTGGGCACTGTCAGCAGCTGCTTGCAGCTGTTCAGTGACAAAACTGATGTCTGTGGTAGCCAGGCTGAGGAGATGGAGGAGGGAGAAACATCCCCCGCCTCCCTGACCATTATACACCCACAAATGCACGGCATGAACTCAGGCCCCTGTCTTGCATCTCCCTGGGGACACTGTTCCCAGGAGGAGGGCTGAGGTAGGACGACCGTGGCCTGAGCCGTGCACAGAGCATGAGCCGTGACATCGGACCAGGACTGAGCCCATTTGAGCACTGTCACTGAGTTACCTAGATGATTTAACATCTGAGTTTCCATTTTTCATCTGAAGAAAATAGGGATGCTAGTGTTTCATAAACTCTCAGTTCTTTATGAATGTGAGGTCAGCATCATTACGACTATAAGTTATAGAAGATGGCATGACCTAATTCGAGTTGGTCATTCTTCTCTGGGCCTCCTGTCTCTCAGCTGGAGTAGAGAATCAATCAGTCTAAGAGTCATTCCAGGAAATGAGCCAATCCGGGAGTTTAGCAGGAGCCCATGATAGATGCGGACACAGCAAGGAACACAGAGGAAGCGGAACCTACACGTAGGACACACGCTGGGGCTCCTCCCCTACGACTTTCCAGGGGGTTGCCGACTACAAAGACAGGTCTGGCAGACCCTGTTCACTGTGTCGCCTGTCCCCATTCCCCGCACAGCTCCACCACAGAGGCTAAAAAATTAAAACCCCTTCCCAGCCTGCATTGACCCAGGGTAGGCCATGTGACACATTTCTAGCCAATGACTCAGGCACAAGAGAAGTTTGCTGGAGAGCTTTTGGCAAACATTTGCTTTATAGCATGTGCAAGCCAGAACTGGATTTTGCTTCTAAGGGGCATCTGGTTTAAAGGGGGACATATAACATGCTCTTAAATAACCATAAGCATAGGATAAACATAGCCTTTGGCCTAAGAAAGGCATAGGGGAAGTGGAAAAGGAAGGAATGATTTCTTCCTACATAGTGATCAGGGAATCCTTCATGGAGGAGGTGGCATTTGAGGTAGATAGGGCTTGAACACCCAAGGTTGGGAGAGGCAGCCATGTCCCCCAATCCTTATCTCATCAGTCCCAAGCTTCCCCACTATTCTGAACCACATTATAGGGAACCCAATAGTTCTTGCCAGGGGATGTCATTATAACTCTGGATATAATCAGAGATAATTACATCGTGTACTCACAGGGAATTTCCCCCCAAAGTCCTTTAAAGATACTATCTAACTCATCCCCCTTCAGTGGGCAGGGGTGGACCAAGAATAGAGAAGGAAACACACAGGCCTAAAGTGACATCCCAAGATTCTAGAGCTGTTTGGGGAGCAAGTTTGCCCCCTTGGCCATAGCCTTTCTTAGAACTCTCTGCTTTCACCTTAATCCGTGGAGATGCACACCCTCACCTTTGTGGTGTGCACACGTGCCTTCTATTTAGAGAGGGAGGGGCCTTTATCTAATATACAGCATATCATGAATTCTCTCACATAGTGAATGCATGTGAAATTACAGTGAGGAGGCTCTGTGCTCCGGGTTCATGGTCCCTAAAAGTAAGTCACGGATCTGCTCAAGTTATCAAGTGCTTTCCCTGATGACCAGTGAATACACTCATATGAAGGACACAGGATGGTCAGACTCATAGACAGAAAGTAGAATGGTAACTTCCAGGGGGCCCAGGGCAGAAGGGAATGGGGAAGTGGTGTTTAATGGGTTGAGTTTCAAGTTTGCAGCATGAAAAGAGCTCTGGAGATGGATGGTGGTAGCTGCACAACGAGAATGTACTTAATGCCACTGAACTGCACACTTAAAAATGGTTAAAAGGACAATTTTATGCTATGTGTATTCTTCCATGATAAAAAAATCATTTACCTACAACATCACTTGTTTTAAAAAATCTGCTTCTATACTGTCCAGATGAGATCTGACCTCTGCTGTCTTTTGGGGCTCATCATGGTAGAATTCAAGTTGCTAAACCTCACATCAGAAAGCCCAGATTCAGATCTTAAATGCTATGCTTGTTTGAACTTATTCTTACTGAACCTCACTTTCCTCACTGTTAGTCAGATTACAACAATATCAGCTTTGATTACTTCACTCGGCAGTGGTGAAGATCCAGTGAGTTAAATTATGTGCATGTTGTGCCTAGCAAACCACAGAACACCAAACAAATACAACAGATTTTTCAAGAGGACGAGGAGGCTCTCTCTGAGACCTATTATAATATTTTCCGACTTTTCTTGCCAAGAAGTTCCTTCAATCGCACCTAAATTCCTTCTAACAGAGCTTCAGCCAGCTTAGAAATAACCTTTCCCTTGGGACATTTCCAAATCTCTGGTTGAAAGAGTCGCCCATCTGGTAGGTGTCAAAGGGGACATAAGCAGAACCTTTTAGAACCACTAACTCTTTGGGCCAAGGACAGAATTCTTCTCCAGGTTTGGTTGGGTTTGCAAATTCCTTGGCTGTCATAGCAACCTTCAAAGCAAAGGGGGCCTGTTTCGTGTCATTTCTGACGGCAGCCTGGGCTGGGAATGTGCTCAGGTTGGCCCAAGTAAACAGTGTTCACTCGTAACCATTCTGTGCCTCCCCCTCTGAGTCCCAGGATGGGCAAAGCAGAGAGCTCGCCAGCCTCAAGACCTCTGGCTGAACAATTTCTCTCCTGGTGTCACTCTGCTCACCTCGGCTGCCTGGCTTCCAGTGGCTCTGCCAGACCCACAGTGGGGAGGCAGTTTCTGGGAGAGGGCCACTGGGAGCTGGGATTAACTCCACTGCAGAAGCAAAGGTCTACACCCCATGTGAAGATAGACAAAGATGGCCTGGGGAGAGGGTCGCTGGCACTTCCCTGGCACTTCAAATACACCCATTCAGGTCACAGGTGACCTCTGCTGACTTCACCAAACACCTGCAAACGGGGCTGTTGATCTCTCGGGCTGGTGCTGGAGACCTAAAACTGTTGAAGATCTAAAAAATATAATCAGTTTCACAATATAAAAAGAAAACCATAAGAATAAAATTAGTAAGTATCTCACCACATCTACAAAGCTGTTATATGATTTTCGTTGTTACGTGTATCATCATGAGATTTCTACCTATTTGAAAATAATTCATGGGGTCATTTTTCATCATTGGCAGTGTTCTTGATTATGTGCGGTGATCACCAAGAAATCATTATTGGGCCAGATTTCAAAAGTAAAATTATAAAATGTATGGCAATATTTTATAGTTTAAAAAAATTAGAGAGTGGGTATATTTTAATACGCTTAATATGTTCTGGTCTTCTGGTAACATCAGTCCACTTGTAAATGAAATACTAGCAGTTGCTTCCAAGAGTTCTTGTGCAAATTAAATGACGTAGTAAAAATGTTTTGTCAAATGCTGGATGCTGGTATTATTAATACTCAGAGGGGTGCTCACCCCCACTTCACCAGTCATCACACAAACCCTGATATGCCCTCTGTCCCCTGGGACATTCCTATTTAAGGTGTACAGGAGCTATGTCTATGTTTCTAGCTCTTTCTGTGCCCCGGTGAGTACAGTATCCTGCCTTAAAATCAATTTCATTAAATCAGTTTGATTATGATGTTGTTTCTCCCCTTGGGTGATACTGGAAACTCCTGTGGACAGACCGCTAATTCTGGAGATCTTCTGCGGCATCAAGTATTACCTCTTTAGTTGCTGGATCCTGCAAGGAGTTCAGGGGCTCCCAGGGCAGCTGATGGTGACTAGGGGTACCATCCAGAATGGAGATATTCCAATATCTAGTATAGAATATTTAATAACAAGTATATGAACTGAATATCCCAATGTAATCTTTTATTAATTTCTTCATTTATTCAGTCCGTCAACACTTAGTTTTTGAGCAGCTTCTTGTGCAACACATTAGGTCAGACACAGTGGGGGATATAAAAAAAAAGCAAACAAACATACCTACAGAAACAAAAGGTCTAGTAGGACACCGGTGGCATATCATCAAGTAATGTCAGTAAGAACAGTGCATAAAAAAATGTTATAAGAAAAATATACTCATCTTGGGGGTCAGGAGCATGAGGTCACATCTGCCTGGAGTGATCATGGAAAACTTCATGGAGAAGGTGACTTCTGAGTTGAGGCCTTGAAGGATGGGCAACCTTTCAACACACGAGTAAGAAGCAGGTGGAAGTCCAGAGGAAGAAATGGCAATGGAAGAGGCTCAGAGGAGTAGGAACACGAGAGGTTTCAAAGTATCATGTGTGGTAATATTTTTCAGGAACATAAGAAACTTGTAGGTGGATGGAAGCCCAATAGGGTGGAGTTGGGCCAAAATCATTACAAAAATGTCTAGACTTTATTCAATAGGCAAAGGAAGCCATTAAAGGTTCTTTGATCTGGAGAACAACTTATGAAGATTGGTCAGATTAACTTGTAAATACCTTAAAGCAAGTGGTGGGATTGGAAATGGTTGAGGTGGGTAGGGGAGGGCGTTGCGAAAGGATGGAGATGGGAAGTTTGCCTTTACAGGGTTCA